CTAGTCCTGCTCTTATGCTTCAACTTTCAGAACCTTAGCACAGGCCTAGCCTCTCTAGATGTACCATCCAGGATGGAAAAAATGCCTGACACTAATCTGCTGAGCAGTAACTAGACAGCAATGGCTCTGGGATAAGTTCAGGTGTGGGACTGCCTTGAAGAGGCTCTGCTCTGTGCTAGTGATTTGGGGTGGCTGATTGGTGCTAGAGTGCTTGCCTAGTATTTGATGTGTACGCCTGGGGTTTGCCTTTATGTGACTGCTTTTTTTTCTTTCTTTCTTTCTCCTCCTTTCTTTTTTTTGTTCTTTTTTTTTCTTCCCCATTCTAGAACAACTGCATGACAGGGCTTGCTCTGGGTGGGGCTGGTTTGGATAACTGAGAGGTGGAACTAGGATAGGCAGTCTTATAAAAAGACAGCATCTAGCAAACTGTGGGAGCACCAACAGAGGGAGCTTGCCTAGGGAGTTCACCCTAGGAGGGATCCAGGGAGCAAAAGACTCTGTGCATGTGCATGTGCATGTGTTGGTGGGCAAGGGCCCTGGTGCAAGAGTTTGGCATGCAGGGTCCTGTGGTGTCTCTTTTTACCCCTTCTCCCCTACCTCCCTCTCCCCACCCTTACAGCATAGGTGTTCTTCAGGAAGCAAAGGAGGCAAAAACAGAGTCTGCATCAGCTGTTGTGATCTGTGTGGGATGGACCATGTCCATGGTCCTCTCAGAGGATCAGGAGCACTTCATCTGCACCAAGTCCACTGGAGAAGATTCACAGATTAGAAGTACAGGTATCCATGTTTCGTTGTATCAGGGACCAAGAAGATTACTTGGACAAGAGTTACAAAAGGCTGGTAATGCAGAGGCGAAAGGGCAATGAGGAGAAGTGGCGGCATGTGACTACTCAAAGGAGAGCCTCAAAATTGAAGAGAAGCAGATTAAAGTCAGCAACCACTTTCAAGCACTCTGTGGTGGAACTGCTACGGAACAGGCAGAGGAGAAGACATCTGCAGGTATGAGGCAGAGAAAGCAGCCTAGAGAGCAGGAAGTGCAAGACCCCAAGGACAGGGCTCCAGGACCATTGCATCATGAAGGAAGAGAAGAGTAATGGTGGTGTCAACATAATGGCTTTGGCTTCTTTGCCAATGGGTGGATGCTCTTGGGGGGAGGACTGCTATCAAGAGATGGGATCCATCTGATGAGAATGGGGAAAAGCGTCTTTGGGCATTGTATGGCCAACCTAGAAAGGAGGGCTTTAAACTGGGCTCCACAGGGGATGGTGATCAAAACCTCCCAGTGACCAAGCACAGAGTCCAGAATGGAAAGGACTCAAAGAAGCAACTCAACTCTGGGAAAGGGCCAGAGAACTACAGAATTGCAACAAGTAGTGCAAAAGGGAAGCAAGGAGATCAAAATGCAAAATACATCCATTACATGTATATAAATGTGAGCAGAATGAGGAATAAACAAGATGAGCTGGAAGCTGCAGCCTTTGATCTGACTGGCATCACCGAGACCTGGTAGGACAACTCTTATGACTGGAATGTCAACATGGATGGTTACACTTTGTTTTGGAAGAACAGAGTTGGGTGGTGATGCTCCCCTGTATGTCAGAAATGAAAACGTGTTCCCTGGTTCAGGAGGAAGACGGAAAATCAGAATGCATTTATCTGAGTGAAGATGAAAGGTGAAAGACGCAGTACCTAATGGTGGGGATTTATTATAGGCCACCAAATCAGGAAGAGGAGGTGGATGAGACAGTACCTTCCCATAAACAAATTGGAGAAACGTGATCTAGATAAAACTATTATAAAGTGAATAGATAACTGGCTCAACAGCCACAAGCAATGGGTCCATGTCAGAATGGCAGGAGGTTTCAAGTGAAGTCCCACATGGGTCTGTCCTTGGCCCAGTGCTGTTCAATATGTTTATTAATGATTTGGATGCTGACATAGGAAGCTTCTTGGGGAGTGGGTGCTGTGCAAAGGGGGGCAGGGGGTGGGCTCTGCCACATGGCCCCAGAACCCCTACAACCACTGTTACTGCCAGTGAGTACAGGGTGGGTTTTTTTGATTCCCTGACTGCTGACGCTGGGTACAGGAGCCATCAGGGACGAGGCGATCGGGGAGGGGGACTGCACAGGGGGGCTCTGTCAGGAGGCCCCAGAGCCCCCACAGTAGCTGCTACAGTCAGTGAGTGTGGGGCTTTTTTTATTTTTTTTAAAATGCCAAGAGGCTAGAGCCAGGTGGGGGATGGGGCCGAGCAGGGCAGCCATGGGGGCTTCTCCCACAGTTCATCTGCATTGCCAAATCAGCACTGAATCTCCGATTCTGGTTTGGCTAAATTGAATGGGGACAGTGATTCGAATCATGGAATCGAACCACTGTCCTCTGAATCGGCCAAATCTGAATTGAATACTTCCCTACTCGCACAGGCCTAATGCCTATGTTCTGTGCTATGGGTATTTCCCATGCTTCTGGGTTTTGCCAGTTAACATCCTCCTCCCCTCTTTTCTGCTGTGTCAGGGTGTTTTTAAGCCTTCCCAGAGGCACTGGGTGTTGGCTACAGCCAAGACTAGGAACTTCAACTATGGTGTGCCAAAGCTCATGCTGGGACCAAAGCTGGAGGTCTCTGGCTCGAGGGTCTTGCACCTCCACCCAGGGTCAGACTGATCGCCATATTTGGGATCAGGAAGGAATTTTACCTCAGGGTCAGACTGGTATGGACTATGGGGGTTTTGCCTTCCTCTGTAGAGGGGGGCGTAGCCCTCTATCTGGGGACCTCTTGAGCATATACTGACAACGTTTTATAGAAGCAGGAAATTGGCTGCCGTGGTTCCCCTGCTTTACCTGTGGCAGTTTAGGGTGTTAGGTCTGTGTGATCTCAGGGTTGACAGTAGCCCTCTATAAAGTTTAAATGATGGTTTGTATGGGATAATTTGGATAGGGCTAATGCTACCTTAGGCAGGGGGTTAGACAAGATGACCTCCTGAGGTTCCTTCCAACCTTAATTTTCTATGATTCTATGACCTCTGGAGGTCCCTTCCAGTCTTACTTCTCTATGACTTTCTCTATGAACAAGGTTCTTGTTTCCCCACTTTAGCACCTCAGGTGGATGACTGCAAAAGTTTGAAACATCATGATGTGGCCCATATACTACAAACTTTTCTGGAGGAGGCTGAGAAGCCCATGCAGACATGTGGATATATTGCATGCCTGATTCCAGTTAGGTGATCCTCTACATGAACAAGGCCATTACAGACCCAGCAACGCTGGTCTGAGATACCTGCTACCTCTGCCCTAACCATAGAAAAGGTGGACAAACACTATCAGGTTCCTACTAGGGGCAATGGATTCTTATACCCCCACTTTACTTTTCCTTTGTGGTCACTGCACATAAATGGGAAGGCAGAGTACCTCCACAGCACACCTACAGAGAGGAGCCAAAAAGATGGGATTTTGGGGGAAAGAAGTTATAATCCTCTACTAGCTTACAGTTTTGAGAAGCCAACTACAAACTGTAAGATCCTGAGCCACAGATCCTACTACCCACGAGACTGGCCCAATGGTATCAGACTATGTTAACATCTGCTATGAGACTGCTAAATTGGACCTCCCAATGACTCCACTTCCACCAGAAATTAGGCGACTGCTGGCTTTCCTGAAGAATGTCTTCATATCTGAATTTGCAAGGAAGCCACATGGGGCTCCATATACTCCTTTAAGCACTGAGCCACTGCAGAAACTTCAAGAGCAGATGCCCTACTACTGCTGTTTGCTTAAGTCTCTAAGACTTGTTTCCATGCGACTTGGGCACAGCTTTGAGTCATCTACAGCGGGAATGTGCACGTGGACTTAATGGGAAGATAAGTTACTCACCAGTAACTGCAGGTTTTCAAGATATGTTGCCCACAATGCACATTGCATAGCCCATACAGACTTGAAATCTTTGGCTGTCTGTAATCCAGTAGTTTAGAGGAGACTGAGAAACAGAAAATTGCACTTTCCCTATACCCTTCATGTGAAGGAGACCAGGATGCATGCATATGGTAATGTTGCTGCAAAGGCAAAAGTCTCAGACCTCACGTGTTTGAAATGTAACAGATATAGAATTTTGCATATATGAAACCTATATCAAAAGATCTCCAATTACTGGATCATAACTTCTCTTTTCTTGCTTTCTATCCCACGCCCCTTCAGCTGATGTAGGCTTTATTCTCTACCCAGACCCATTGACTATTCTTTCCAGGGCAGTGGATGCAAAGCAGTTGGGTTCTAGGCAGCAAAATCCTGGGACAGAATGGTGGATAACTAAAATCATTACATGTGGCTACTGTGGACAATTATTTATGACTTTTTAAAGTAGGTTTTTTAAAGCTAATTTAATGTATTTGATCATATATAGTTGATCAAAATTATACTAAGCAAATAGAATGGTTTAAAATTGATGTTCTCTGACTGTAAGAAAATCTATCATTTATAAATACTAAAACATTAAAATTACTGCACTAGGTTAAAAAGGCATTGCCTGAATTGGGGTTTTTCCAGCAGTTAGCAAGATGGTTAAAGATCTTTGAGGCTCTCATAAATCTTGATTAAAAATAATTGGAAACTTATTAAGTAGGGAAAGAACTTAATGTTTCTTGGGTGTTCATTTTCCAGCTCCACTTAATCCCTGATTAGCAGAATATGGGGTGAAGAAACTAGGAGGCAAGGGTGACAGAGGTGAAAGGGTAAGTGGCATGTATGTTTTGGAATGCATGAAAGACTTGCCTTTCAACATGAAATAGTATACACACACTGACAGAGATGAAGTAAAACAAACAGACCAGGATCTTATATATTTGCTTAAGATCACTATTTTGCAGCCAATATCTCAAGTGCAGCAATACCAGAATAATTTCTCCCCAAACCACCAAGCCAAGAATATTTGCTTCTAAAATTGTAAGAAGTGGTAAAACACTGAAGCATTTTAAGAAAACAGGTACCGATATTAGTTTACAAACAAAACTTACAACTCATTTCCCGTCCCAGGAAATGAGCCTTGGGCTCTCATTTCGTCCTCATGTTTCTGAATCCTCAGTAGTTTCGCATATATTTCCTAAAAGATGTGGAAAAAATATTTAAATAAATTACTTTTTATATGTTTTTAAATAAGAAAATACTTACTTCTTATACAGATACAGAAAGATGTAGAAATTATACTAAAACTGGTCAAAGTATTTTAATAAATGTAAATACACTATGTTGCAGGGTCATGCTGCACATGGGACCCTGATCCTACAATCACTTCAATGGAACTTTCTATAGCAATACAATTAAACAGTAAAATTAGTTTGTAGGACTAAGGTCTAGAGTTATTTGCAACACTGAAAAGGATTTGGGCAAAACATAACACAGGCCAATGGCTTAATTTTGAAATATATGAGGGGTACAGGTTGTAGCCATGTTGGTTTAAGGACACAGTGGAGTTCACTGCCATTTGAACGTGTGCCGGAGGAATACAGCACGTTAAGACGGGTTGGAGCATCCCCAGCTGGCAGCCCAGGGCTGCTCCCTGCAGCTCAATGTGCTGTGGAGGAGCTGGCTGGGGCACAAGGGTGTTTCAGCATGGGGCTGGCTGACAGGCAGTCCCCATGCTGAAGCACTCTCGTGCCCCAGCCAGCCAGGGCAGCATCTACATGTGCGCTGCTGCAGAGTTTAACTTGGCAGCAGGATAGTACTTGTATTTACAAGTACTATCCTGCTGCAGAGTAATTAGTTTATTCCAACTTAATAGGGGTACATGTGTAGATGTCATGCCATTTACCACGCAGGTAATTAGTCTACTGCACAGTAAACATTTCATGTAGACACACCCAGTAAGTCATACATAGAGTAGAACAAGTAAACGTGTGTAATGGGTACGTTTGCAGATATACTATATACATATTGTATATTACTCAGATTGCTTTTCAACATATACTAATACGATTTCTTATCAGGCATTAAAAGATGTCAACCTATTTTAATTTAATGAACATTAGGTACCTGGAACTTGTTCCTATATTCCTATATTGCCAGTCCTCCAATTGGCAAGGAGTGACATAGCACAAATCTATTTTTTTAAAACAATTTTCTTTATATTTTTGTAAAATAGTAAATAATTTAACAGTAAAACAGGAAAGCCATTACATTTTTAATAGGAGCCAATGTATAAAGTGCTAAGCTCCTCACATGTATAATACTATAAGTTAAGTAGGCAAAGGTACTTATGCAACACTTTAAAACACATCTTAACACTTCAAAAATGTGTAAAAACACCCACTAGTCATGATTTAAAAATAGATATCTTCTCCCCAAATACACCCAAACACAGAGTATATTTGTATTAAAAATAAATTTGTACTTAAAAGCATGAGAATCAGTCCACAGCAGATTTATTTCCAAAATAGATGCATTCCACGCGCTTAAATGGTCGTGGAGTCAATTTTACAAAAATCTTTGACGGAGGCTAGTGCTGAGGTTTATAATAGCATAGAGGAGCAAAATAAATATTTTTTGAACAACTCAATTGTGTAAACCCCCTGGAGTCAAGAAACAAGTGAATAGCTTTATAAACAACATAAAAAAAGAAACTGCAGCACTAAGCCTTCCAGAAATCTTTTGGTTTTGAGTAGGGACAACAGAAATCAGCTAAGAACTAAAACAGTTTTGCACAGATTATCAGTCTGCAGCCTCTCGCATGATCTAGTTGGGGATGGTCCTGCTTTGAGCAGGGGCTTAGACTAGATGACCTCCTGAGGTCCCTTCCAACCCTCATTTTCTATGATTCATGATTCTATTATTCTATGTTATTTAAAATCTATTTATCTTTATTTTTATACTTTAATAACTTATCTCCTAAAACAAAGCAAATACCATTTAAAATATCTGTAAGATTGCAGTAAACTGCCACTACATCCCAGTTGGGTTTGGTTATCTGGGTAGGTTTCCCACTTTGTAGTCAAACACGGTATAGAAGTCCTAGTCAGGGAAGCAGCATCTCTCACAGCTTTCAAAACCTTCGGTACTCCAGTTTGGGAAAGGGCTAATATGGATACAAAAATTTCATTAGGCAAACCCCCACCCTTGCTTGTTAGAGTAAGTTGGCATAAGGCTTTCCTAACACAAGATGAAAAATTCTTTGCATCTGCAGGATGTTGGGCAGAATAGCAAACCCAGACTTCACCGGGGGAGGGGGGGGGGAAGTGTTTTTGAGTGTAGGCTGGGTGGGCTATCACTTGAAAGGCTTGCCTCATTGCTGAAAAAGAATAGAGGACCTAAGGAAGCAAGTCCCTATGAATATAATGAGACTTGAAGGACACAGAAAAAGTTAACCTGGTAAAAACAAGAGGGTTTTGCCTACTGAGAGGGCTTGGCAATTAGGTGTGGGACCAGACTGGCTGCCCTGGCTTTATCCTTATCTTTCCAGCTTCTCCTATTCTCTTGTGTAGGCCCGTGTTTGAGGCCTCCCTATCTGGGAGAGAAAGTTGCAGCTGTAACACTTACCCCCCACTTCCCTACTGAGCCAAACGTAAACTGGAATATGGAGCCTGTTAGATCCTGAAGTGAAATTAATAGACCACCAGCAGGATTTGGCATGCCTTACCCTCTACACCCTAGTGTGCACCCTAATTTATTGAGCAGGTCAGCAGATTGCATGTGGCATAGGATCCTAGTACGAAGACGAAAATTGCTGTAAGGAAGGGAAGGGAGAAGTTACAGCTGCATCTTTATGCAGATTGGCCATCATCTGAATTGTTTTTAAACTGTAATTAAAGTGCTTCAGTAACATGCAACAAGTACAAAAGACACTTTCAGGGTTTAGTCACTGGGCTCAGAGACTCTGTTGATATGAATGGGGAAGTTCCACAACCCCTGCTTGCACAGTTGGAGTTTATCAAAGCAACTAAAATTGTAAAGAACTTAATTATATTTAAAAATAAATGCTATTTATATAATTAAATTGCATCTCAGGGTAGGAAATGTTGTCTTGTTAAATATAGGTGCCAATGTCTTTAGGTCCCAATTTTCATTGCTCTCATGGGATGAAATTCAGGTCCTAACATTTTAAAAGTTTATGCATGTGCTTAACTTTATGTGGGAATAGTTCATTGACTTAGTAGAACTACTCATGCAAATAAATTTATACAAGTCTTTGAAAGATCAAAGATCATATGTTATGACCAACAATTAATTTGACAAATCTTCAATTCCCAAGATTACAGCAAGCTACTGAAGACATTCTCTTATTCAAATCCAACAGGTGAAGATTTTACTCATCACTCCAGGATGCAATAGTCACACTCAAGAATGTACACAACTGCATGTCTTGTAAACTCAGTTTGTAAATTATGCAACCAAAATAAATGGTTTTATAAGACAAAAATCAGCCATATATTTTTTCACTTCTACTGGAGTGTTCAAATCTTTAATTTGTACAAAGATGCTCGCTTTTGAATAAAAACATATTTTTTATTTTACATTACACAATAAATTGAAGGCAGGAAACAGGGAAATGAAAGAATATGTTAGAAGAACAGAAAAATTTAGGAAAAATCTTTCCACATGTTTCAGATACACGGGTTTGTGGAGATTTTGTTTTGCTTTTCTGCAAAAAGCCTGTAGAACAACAATCTTTGGAGATTAAGTTCTGTATTTCACTTGGCTATACGGAAAGGAGCACCTTGGTAAAATATTTGTAGACTTCCAACACTGTATATAATTGAAATGCTTTAGGATGTAAATTATTTTCTTAGAAAACATTTCGATAAGGGTGACAAAAGGCCACAATGATGCATGAATCCAGTGAGATTTCTGGAATAATCAGCAGAATTGCTAAGTTACATTTTGCTGGACAAATTTTATATCAAACAGCCTACTTTGTCTTCTTTACCAGATTTTATGTGTGACCATATTCCTTGCTAACAATAACATTTTCCATGTAATATTTACATGAACTCATAGTATACTATGCTCAAATTTTCTCAATGGGCAGCAGTTACCCACTGTGTACCAAAATGAAAATATTTTGACTGTCTCCTAGACCAACCTATATTCAACAAACAGAACAAAGAAAATGTACATATAAAAAACACATTTTATAAAATTCTTCCTAAATATTCCGATAATAAATTTAGATATGAATTGGATCCTAGAGGACATATGGTCAATGCATATATTTACTTTTTTAATAGATGAGTAACATCTTAATTAGTTACCTAAACTAATTAAGGTGCCAATGTCTTTAGGTCCCAAAGACTGCTGTAACTCATTGTCTTAGTTGTCACTAATAAAATCTGAAATCCCCATCAGTAAAGGCAGTAGTGTTTAACATACACATTTGGGCCAAATTATATCCTTATCTTATTCCACTCTCTCTGTATATTTTGTTTGTATGTTTATAAAATATATTGATCGTTCATTAAAAACTACAGTAACATGCAATCCATTTTTCTATAGCAGAATGAATTACAGTTTGGGGAGTTTAAAAGAAATAAATCTGCAACTCTTAGATGCTTGTTAGCTCAATACAAGATTAAAACAATGTTAAGTCTTTTATACTAACTTCACTTCTCTTATGACTACCCAACTACAAGATTCTTAAATCCTGTTTACTGAATTCTTATTCCTCTAGTTCTCTTTAATGAAGACACTTAGAAATGTCCTAAGTACTAAACAATATCCTATAGCAATGAACTTGGTGTCTGTCAAACAGATTTAATGTGAAGAAGGTTTAGTCATGTAGTATGGCAACAGGATGTATAATATTTTTTTGAAAGACTGTTTCTTAGGCAAATCTTACATACCCTTTTTAAAGGCTAGGAAGAGCTAAAAATAAACTTGTGCTCCTTGTAAAATTTGTAATTTCTTCATTATGATGGAATGTAACAAAACATCTTGCCCTTGGGTTGCTCTGTTTCAGCCAAAACAAATGCAAATGGCTTGTCAGATGACAGCTGTTTGATAAGGCTCCTCTACAAGACCTGCATGCTTTACTTTTTTCCATGAAACTTGGGATGAAAGGCAGAAGGCAGGAAGAGAATTAATGTAGCATACAGTCTAAAGGCAATGCTACAACCGTGATTAAGTAGAAAAGTTAAAAGGCACAGATTTTCCACAGCCTCGCTGCGTGCAACCCATCCGTGTAACAAGTTGACAGGCCTAGCGCGTCAGCTCCATCATCCTCTCCGACAGCTAAAACGCAGCATTGCATCCCTTTTCAGAGAAAATTTGCGTCTGCACCATGAAGCGTTGTACATTATTTCTTAGCACTGCAGGGGGCTCAAGTCCATATGGAACCTTCACAAATATTACCACAGATCAAACCAGCGGCGTTTCGAGGCAGATTTGACATACCTATTTAAATGAACAGCAGGGGTCCTCGGGCTGCCTCAGGCTGTGCAGGAGAAAACCTCTGTGGAAAGCCTATGCTGCAGCTCCATTACTCAGCAAAGACACACTCTACATTTATCATTCATTTCATTTCTGCCAGGGCAAGAAGCTCATTTGCCCAAGGTCAACAAAAAACGAAAAAAGGTTTTTCCAAGAAATAAATGTACCTGACAAGTGGGGATTTTGTCCTTTGGGTACAGAGAGCAAAAATAAACACCAGATAATTCTACAAAACACAGCAAAGCTGCACGTAGATTTCAAAAGCCTAAAATCTGTTTTTGCGGAGAAGTCCCGTAATGCTACTCTACTTTTGCAACAGGACATGAGGAAAACAGAATCTTCCAATTGAAATGACCTGACAGCAAAAGCAAATACTTCATTCTCTTCTAAAACTGGGTATCAAAAGTACTGCACATCTCTTTACCAAGTCTTCTAGGGAACCAAGAAAGTACATTCTATCAATAGGCAGATATTGGGAAGGCCTGAATCTATATTAAAGAAATCAGCAACCACTCGTGTTTTATCGGATGCAGATTTTATCAAAGAACAGAGACTCCCTAGTCTTGCAACCATGCTTATCAGAGTGGATGTCACATATATACAAATAAATTAATCTGAATAATAAAAAAAAAGTTTAAAATCTATTTATCCTATTTAAATACAGATGTGCCTCACATTAAATACCAGCATACATAACATTTCCTACAGCATTTCCTTTAGGAAAACTATGTATTTTAAATTTGACAGTGAATAATCCTAAATCTCGTCATCTTGGCTGGACATCCGTTCTCCCTTAATAACTATGAGTGATGCTAATTCAGACTAGAATATAAATCAAGGCATGTTCAGAGTATTCAAAGCCAACTCTTAAGCAAGAATTTAACATAAACCAAAAAGACTAAAGAAGCAAAACAAAAGTTTCACTTTTAAATCAGATAAAACATCGCCACATAAATGAAAGAATAAATATTATGACTTAGCAAAATACATTATGTTTTACCTCAGGTGGTGTTATTATGGACCATTATGAAATAGCTAGGTAAATTCAGAAACTTCTGAAATGCACCCTGGTATAATGCAATACTTGGCTGAGAGCTAACATCTATCATAGGTTATAACAAACTTACGTGCAGCAATGAATAATATGACTGACTGCCGGTATAAAAGAGAAAGTGAAATGGACGGCCATCTTCTCCCCATTGGTGTACTAATGAAAAGCAAGATCAGACAAAAAAGCAATAATATATGCTTATTAAGTATCTGTATTTAATTGCTGGTATAAGCCTCTTTTATATACTGATTACTTTTTAAAATATCACAGAACAAAGAAATTCGATGGGTGTTCAACCTGGCTGGAAAGCCAATATTTTAAAATACTTTGTTAAAAACAATCTACATCTGCTGCTGTAGAAAGATATTTTTAATGCAAGATTTCTAAATATCACATGACATGACGGAAACCCAGCCGTACAGCTTAAATAAACTGAGAGAATTTATGTAGTGGTAATGCAGGTAAAGGTGCCAAGTTTAAACTAGAATGAAGGGCACACTCACAGTTGATTAAAATACAAGAATAATTGAGAAAGGTGCCAGAGGGACAGAAAACAAAGTCTTCTGAAAACAGAAAAAAAAGTTTTATGTGCATCAGCAGAATAATCTTTACAGTTGGTCTGAACTGTGTTATGGAGGGACTGCAAGGGTTTAGGATTCAGGTGTTTTGGGGAAATGTTTAAAACAATTTAATCTGTTTAGTCACAGGTGCCAAGATATGCTTTTGCAAAAGCCTCACATACAACGAACAAGTTTAATATCTGTCCTATAAAATATTTAAGGATAATTTCACGTAGCAACAATATCCCTCCTTTGGAAACTCAACTTATTTTACCTGTTACCTTGTTATTTTATAGTCAGACTTCTTACTTGGGTATTACAGTCCAACTCCTGCCAGCTTCAAATGGGAGGCAATATCAGACTCAATGTTACTTTCACAACAAGCTTTGACACCACTGATTCAGCAATGTCTTAATTGCAGGTCTTTTTAAGCAAAGCACAATACACTGTGATAACTTTAAAAGAAGATTACTGTACAAATGTCAGACACACAACTGTAAACAGCTTTTATTTTAAATTTCAGTTTAACAAATTATTTGTGTTAAAGCATGCTTCTTCTGAATAATAGAAATTCAAATTTATGAGGCCTATAGGGCAAAATTCAAGCTCTACTGACATGAACAGCAAATCACTCATGGATTTCAGTGAAGCTGAGCCTTTATTACATCAATTTCAAGCACTGACAACACTTAGCAGTAATTTTTTGTCAAATTTTAAAACCAGGAATAAACATCTCAAAGTGATGCATTTGAAGTATTTAAAGCTGGAGACCTATGTTGCAGCTTGATGTAGGTAATGTATTAAATTAAATGCAGCTTTACCAAGTAGATTATTTTGGACTGTTGTATGTCTTACAAAACTTCTAAGTACCATGTCATATACAGCCTTACATTCAAAAGAGGCCAAGCTGAGAAGATGCGACTAAAATCTGAGGTGAGCAAAAGTTTGCTCAACAGTGGCCCACACCAATAAGTCCTATCCTATCCATGGAAAAACCTGTTTCCTTTGAACCAGAGGAAAATACAATAAACTATAATTCAGTTAAAAAAAAAAAAGCAGCTTCAAAGTTAATACAGGTTTCCCTTGATTTATGTGAATTCGCTCTTATGCAATGACCCTTTTTATATCTAAAATTTGTTATATGTGAGGTAAATTCACTGCTATGCGATCAGCATAGGCTCACTCCCCCTTCCCCCAAGCAGATAAGTTTGTGAGTTTGTAATGGGAGGGGAAAGGGCCGTGAGCGGAGGGGAAGGGTATGGGGAGGGAAAAGGGATGTGGGGCTGGGGCCCCGGGCCCCACACACCACAGCCCCTGCTGCAGCTGCTCTGGGAGTGGCCGATGCCAGCGGCTTGCAGCCACTAGGCTGCGCTGTCCCCTAAACCCACTGGGCTCTGCTTCCCCTGGGGCACTGTGCCCCAAACCCTCTGGCATGGTGTAGCCCAGCAGCTGCAAGCAGGTGGTGTCCGCCACTAACAGGGCTGCAGCAGGGGCAGGCAGCTGCCTGTAGTGGGACAAGAGCAGACTGGGGCTGGCAGCGGCACCAGGCTCTTCCTGGCACTCAGGGTGGGCTGGGGCGATGGGATGGGGGCTGCTGCCACCCCAAAATTCACCATAGCCCCCCGCAACCTGCCCTCTCAGCACCGCTGCCGAGCACTGGGAAGAGCCTGGTACCACTGCTGGCCCCTGCCTGCAGCAGCCACCGGCCCCAGCCTGCTCTCATCCTGCTGCAGGCTGCTGCCCGCCCCTGCTGCAGCCCTGGGAATGGCAGACACTGCCTGCTTGCAGCCGCTGGGCTGTACCACACTGTGGGGTTCGGGGCATGGTGTAGCCCAGTGGCTGCAGGCAGCTGGCATTGGCTGCTCTTGGGGCTGCTGCAGCAGGGGCTGCAGTGAGTGGGAAGAAGCAGGGAAGTGGGGTTAGTGGGGAGAAATGGGGTCAGTGGGGCTGCCGCCCACCCCGAGTGCCACAAAGAGCCCGGTGCCTCGCCTGCTGCAGTCCTGGAAGAGGCACACACCACTTGCCTGCAGCCACTGGGCTGCGCTGCACCCCTCTTCCCTAGCTCCAGCCTCACTCCCTCCCTCACCGGCTGTGGGAACACATCCCTATCTGTTTCATTGTAAACTGGGTTTGCTTTATACAAATTCGATTTCTGCGCCGTTCATTGGGAATGCATCTACCGCATAGATCAAGGGAAACCTGTAAATCTAAATAGTCCAGTGGTGCTTAGCCCTTTAGACCCACAGGCCAGATGAGTGGGACAATAATGGTCCACAGGCCAAATCGAGTTCCTAGGACCCAGCACTGCCCCTTTCCTGTCCTGATTGCTGGGAGTGGGCCCTGGGGCCCAACGCCACCCCTCCCAACCTCTCCTACCACGAGAGGTAGGTAGGGGACCTGGCTTTACCCCTTCCTACCCCAGCATACCAGGATTGGCTCCTGGGGGGCAAAGCACTGCCCCCTCACTCCAAGGTTGGGTTCCCTGAGGTCTGGTGCTGCCCATTCCTTTTATGACTGGTTCCTAGGAACCTGAGGTCATGTCCTCCTGGACCCCCACACTGAAATTAAGCCCTGGTGGTCAGCGCTGCTTCCTCCCATACCCTATGTGTTGGGATTAGAACCAATGGCCCAGTGCTGTGCCTGTGTGCTGGGAGCAGGTGCCTGATAAAGTGTGCAGGGCCTGGAGCTCCCTGTGACTAGAAAATTTCTGGATACAGTGGGAACACTGTAGGTCAGGTGACATGAGGCTGTGGGTCAGATCTGGTCTGGGAGCTGGGGGCTGAGCACCTCTGAAAAAGTCTGCAGAAAGTACAGCTGAACATAATAGGCAGGGGTAAACAAGTTCTGAGAGATCAGGTAAGTGCAATCTGTATTGCACAGAACATTAAGGTAGGAAAATGGGAAAAGGGGAAGGGGAAAAAGCAGACAGACACAAAAGAAACATGGGTGAAAACTGACTGGATCAATTTTTACTAAAAGATGAAGTTACTAACAGAATTTGACAAGTTATAAAAACTGAATATATATTTTTAAATATATGGAAAATATATATTTTTATTGCTACCTAATTTTATAGTTAAGTTGCTAACGGTAAACTTTTCAGCAATCACTGTTCAAGGACTGCTTGAAGTGCAGATTTATATTTTTGCACTTCAAAGTTCTTAAAGATGTAATTTGTAGAGAGCTGAATGAGATTTCCTTGACAAATGGTGATGCATTTTTTTGAAAAGGCTATTTTTAGTTTTATATAAAAGGATCGACTTCTCTCTCCTTACAATTGCTAGGACAAGCCTTATGCCTGAAAAGTCACTGTTTCTGAAAGCAAGCATGCTACTAAATCTTATGATCACAAAATGAGCTATCCCTTTGACTTTAAAGGGATAATCACATAATTATGATTACCATCTTTCTCTCTCCCTTCTGCCTCTTCTTCAGTTCCAGCATGCTTTTTAGTTGACACTTCACTATACACTGAAGTTAGAACACAGTGTTTCATGCTATGTGAAAGCTGGTGTTCTCATAAGTTCAGATGATATAAACAACTCAAATGGTCTGAAATATCAGTAGCAAATACTGGCTGAGAATTAAAAAAAAAAGGAGTGAAGGATAAAGGCAACGGGTTTGAGGATCAAATATAGTGTCCCTTGTGGGACTTTGATGGCTCTGCAAATTCAGAGCTTCTCAGCCACAGATTACTATTTCAATTCATGTAAAAAAGTCACAGTTACTGAAAGTTTTTACAATTAAGTTTGTTTAGCGTTTTGTGCAAAATGTGATAGTTTAAATAAGGGGTGGCCAACCTGCAGCAAAAGCGCCACAAGTGGCACAGCAGATCAGGAAAGGGAACAGGCAGCACAGCAGCAGACAGGACGGGAAGCAGAAAGGTAGAACAGGAGATCGGGGAGGGAGCACATGGCAGAAAGCAAAGCAAAGAGATTAGGCAGGGAGCTTAGAATAGGGAGCAGAAGCTGCTGATTGGGCAGAGAAAGGGAATCGAAGTGGCACACAGAAAGGGTGCACAACTAATTTGTGGCATGCCGGCCAAAAAGGTTGGCCCCCCACTGGTTTAAATCATGGAGGTTTCCACTAAGTAGGTGGATAATATACCCATAAACCATTACTATAAAGCAGGGGTGGGCAATTATTTGGCTTGGGGGACTCTTTCAGGAATTTGGGTAAGCTGTTGTGGACCAGAGTGGGGACAAGGAGAGGGGGGCAACACAAACTATCTGGCTTGGGCCCATCTGCTCTGCTGCTGGGGCACTGAATGGAGCAGAGTCTCTATGGAGACCAAATGGGACTCCTGCAGGCAGGGTGTGCTCTGCTAGGCAAATGGCATGGGGCTGTGGGTGGGCAGGGAGCGGCATGTGGAAGTGGAATGGGCTGGTGGGGACTGGGGACGGGATCATGGGGTGGCAGCAGCACGGGGCTAGGGGCAGAGCCATGATCCGCTCACAATCCCAGCCCTGGACCGCGCCCACCTATCCTACTCCTGGACACCACTCCCTCCCTGCCTGCGGCCCCATCCCACCTGCCAGGCTGAGCACACCCTGCTAAGGGGGTCCCAGCTGGTCTCCATGGAGACCCTACCCACCTGCTCCATCCGGCACCCCTGGCAGTAGGTGTGGGGAGGATGGGCTGTGGTGCCTGGGCAGCGGGGCCAGGTCCAGAGGCAGTGGAGACACTACCAGAGGCACTCAGGAGCCACTGCCAGGGCTACAGGGAAGCCGAGTCCAGCTGCTGCACTGCCCCGCACTCGGGGGTGGTGGGAGTGGCTGCACACACCATGGCCCAGGCTTTCCTCAACACCTGGGCCAGATGGGGCCAAGGAACATGCCGCAGGTCAGAGGAAAAACCCTTGGCAGGCCTCCAGCCTGTATTTTACTCACCCTTGCTATAAAGGATTGTCTAAGGGAAGCCTCAGGAGAGAGACCAAGTTAAGGTTCACTGGGGATATAACAAGGGAAATTTTTACGGCCAGTCACATATTGTCCCCCATTCTTTTTACAGAGGGAATTTCATTTTCCAGAACCGCCAATCTGAGACCTTTTGTGAGCACTGAACTGTGTGCAGCAGTACTGCCCAACCCTGTCGCCCCGCAGGCTATATGAGTGGGGTGGAGTCAGTCCATGGGCCAGATCTGGTTTGTGGGCCTGAACCAGTGTGCATGGGATCCTGGCCCCATACACATCACATCAGGTCTGCTGCCACTGTCCTGGCCCCACACGTGCAGGCTTAGTCCTGCTGCTCCAGCCCTGGCTCCGTGTGTTCTAGTGGGATCCTGCATCTAGCCCACATGGCTTGAAAATTTGGCAGTAGGGAAGCAGTGGCACTGTTAATTGTCACCAACCCCCTGCTGCCAAATTTCCAGACCCTTAGGGAGTCCTACAGCTGGATTGCATGACTTCTTGGGTTGGATATCTGGCCTGCATGCCAAGAGCCATCCTGGCTTCAAGAAATGTATGGTTTTAAGTAAAAAATGAAAAGGAACACTTCCTGGGGCTGTAACAAAGCCACTGGATTCAATGAAGGATTTCCACTGACTTCAGTAGGCACTGGATGAGACCCCACATATTAAAAAAATTTGCTATTGTAGAAAACATATATTTCTCATCAAGATGGTTCAAAAGATATCTAATGTCAAAAAGATCACAGGTCTCCCACACCTAGTATGTCCTGTCACTCAGATCACTAGAATTTCACAGTACATTTGAAAGCCTTTAGCTTTTCAACAAACGTCTTACTAGCAGCTATTAAAATAATTAATAAAGGAGATAAAAATAAGTGGCAGGAAGGAATTGTAAAAAAATATAGATGCACAACAGAATCTTAGATATCACTTAGAATTATTCACGCTTACTTGATTTGCTTGGAAAGACTTCTTTGGGATCCTGTGAAAACCAAGGAAATAAGTCAGGTAATGTACTCTGCCATAAGATGTTCATAAAAGCACATTAAACAATATTCTTACCTTCATTAAAGGTCTGGCCTTTTTCTCAAATAAGCCAGAGGGAAAGAGGTAGGCAATTGCTTTCTGCAGAGAAACACAAAGATCAGATGTATTTTTTTCTGTAAATAAAACATTCCTTATAGGTGCTCTCACTATGAGTATGGTATGAAAACTTAAGAGTAAAAAAACAAAACAAATCAACAATAAATATAGTATATACACATTATAATAGGTCCCTTCCAACCCTAGAAATATATGAAATCTATTATGCTGTGCTTAGACCAAAAGCAACTGCTATTTTCAGAAAAAAGTATTTCTTTCTGAAGTTTGTAACCTAGCATATCTAGAATGAGTGAACTGGAATGAGTCCTATTTACTTTAAAATTTAACCCTAGAAGTCCAAACAATTTATTACAAGTCACAAGCACCACAAAGGGGAAAGATTCCATTTTTTTCATCTTAAAAAAAAAAAATATATTCACTGCCTTCTGCTCCCCCTCAAAATGATTTTTAATCAACTTTAGATTTATCAAATTTCTTATATCTTTCTTTAAGAATCAGTTCTTATTTATTCAAATACAAACTAAATAGACATAAGCCATACTTGCTTTTCTATCCTGTAGTCTTCAAATAGGAAGACTAATGAATTTCCATTTCAACCAGAACATTGGTTTCTTCAAGGCTATCAAGAGGGACGTCTGTTGTGATAGCAGTTTATTTGAAATGATTCAGATCACCCAAAACCATTTTACATAGTTTTCTAAGCAACTTTCATCTAGGAGCAGGTGTTAGTCATTATTCATTACAACCTCAGCTACATTTGAACCAGCAACCTGGAGGTGAAAGTCTATGCAATTACTAAAGCTGTAATCATCAAGTCTCTCTTTAAAGATATTTAAGGGACTTTTAAGAAGATACAAGACAGGAAACAATAACAACGTGCACTTCGGCAAACCATTTGTATTTTATTGTTAATATTATTGCTTGCTAAATGCAGTAAGAGATAGCTGGCAGTCAGCCACTCAATCAATATTTTAATGTTGTTTGTGTGCCTGGTTAAAAAAGTAGTATCATTTACTTTAGCAAGTAGCACAGTTAAGATTCCAAACCATTTCTGGCACAATTATAAGACAAGGAATTTTGTCTTATAAAAAAATCACACCTGGCATATTTTTATTCAGCAGTACAACATTATGGAAACTTTTCTTTTCAAAACATTTGCAAAAAAAAATCTATTGATTAATAAAGTGAAAAGAATACATTAGATTAGAGACTTATTTTTCCCAAATTAACAAAAACAATGTTTTGGTAAATGTGGCTCCAAATGTGGACAAATTCAGTCAAAATATAAAATTAATCACAGCATGAACCACAGAGCTAAAATCTTGTTTTAACTGCAATTACATATGGTACAACACTACCAAATTACTAACTGGATAAAATGCTGCAGTTGCTTCACTTGCATTTTTTAGTGAACAAGTGTGGAAAAATAAAATTATGACAAGTCTGCAGTTAAAATCTTCTCTCAAGAATTATGCCTCTTTGCTGGTTAGGTTACCTTAAGGCTATTACTTGCTGATAATTTTTTTGCATGGACATGGATTGGTTTGTCAGTGCTTCAACCTACTTAATATGCATGGAGTGTAAAAAAGATCTAACCTATTACTTTCATTAATCCCCTACTGGCATTCTGAACAGAAATTTTGAGAATTCTGATGCAAACAAAAGGCTTAACTTGATTTTATGAAATGGTAATTTTGTTTCTCTTAGCGACTGCTGAATTCCCATTTGTTAGTTGATGGCCATTTTGCACACATGCACACAGTAGGTGAACACCTATTTATGAACAAATGGGGATTAATTATGAGGACAACAGAGAAATCTGCTGTGAGCCAGCTGATATTAAACAAACACCTTATTTAACAACATGTTATAGGAATATATTATGAGATACTGAGACTGGCTTTATATGTACTTCAGAGGTATTCTTTATGCCAGTATTTAAAGGACCCAGTTCAAACACTTACAATAACTGACACCAAAAAGTCATCGTCAGCACAGTATATCAACATGCTAGAGCCACAGTACAGAGAATGACTGATTTACGAGATGGAAGTTTAGCTTATAAAAATTACTGGGGGTTACATGCTCACAGTCACCTTTGGTGCTAAAAGTTCCTAACCCACAACCCCACATTAGGAAAGCTTAGGATTTGCTTCTCACTCTCAACACAGCTGGCTGTAAAACAACAATTTCATTTCATGGCTTTTGAATAGCTTTCTGTTCCAATATGGAACAAAAACAAAATCTCTGCAAAATCTCTGTGCAAAATCTTTGCAAAAATGATTTGCAAAGTTGGTGCTTAGGATGCTGCCTAGAACAGTTGTATCTCCAGCATCCTAGGCCTTTTCTCTTATCCCCCAATCTATTGAGCACCTAGGTTCCAAAGTTTTAGGAGAACCGGTATAGCTACACAGAATATTCCAGCTTTGATGCAAATTTCAATATTTCAGCTTTGATGCAGCACATTTCAATAAAACTGCTCTGAAAAGCTCTAGCTTCCTGCTTCTGGGTCTAATACAAACAGAAATAAAAAGAGAACCCGCCTCTAGTCTCCCATGAAGAACTAATCTCTGAGTAACTTGAACTGGAGCATACAGGTATTAGTCTAACTTTCTCTTGAATCACTCTCATGTAACAGGGATCTTCTTCACATCTGCAACACTGGTTTCCAACATAAGAATACCTTCATGAATCAGACCAAAATTTAGTAGAGTCAACTACAGTCTCAATATGTAATGTAGGAGCAAGCTAGTGTACTTTAAGGTTATACGTAACTAAGATTGAAGCAGCTGTGACAGGACACAGACTCTGAGGGTTCCCCACAGACCTTTCCAGACCACACTGTAGGCTTTTATTGTAGGACAGTGGTTCTCATCCTGAGGGTTATAAGTAGATGTCTGGGTGTCTGGATGAGCGGACACATACAGTTCAAGGATACATGACCACTGGATTCTTTCCATATAGCTTATTCAGGGGAGTGGGGGTGGCTCCGATTTTGGTAATGCCCCTCCAGATAAGGTTGAGAACAAATTACTTGGGATAGTATCAGAGAACAATGAGAAATGTTAAAATGCCTGATGCATACATACACTCCCCTTCCATATGTAGATAGCAGGTTATTATTTCACAACTCTAGTTAACAAAGCCATATCATTCTCTTTGGGAATGGAACACAACACTGTAATGTGGTGGACATAAGTTTCATCCCACTTTGCCACACTGCCTTCTAGAATAAGTTCCCTCAAGAACCCAGGCACTGAATATTGCACTGCTTTTTTCACAGAGTTGTCACCTATCTTTTAGTACAGCGTTTTTCAAACACCCTAAAGTCACAGAACCCTTTCATATCACTTCTTTTGCTGGGGAATCCCTAACCACATCCATGGAGCCAGGCAACCCAGGCTGGCAACAGGGACCTACCACGTCAGCCATTACACCCAATCTCCCTGCAGAACCCCTGATGACCTATCACACAACCCCTACAGGGTTCCACAGAACAGCTCAAAAACAACTGTTCTAGTGGATCCTCCACCTGGGAGAAAATACCTTACTTCTGCTATGAATTATTCATTTAACTGAAGTTGCAGAGGTAATTCTTTTCAATCTGAAAGTCCTGGGAAATCATTATGCACACATGCAAAAGAGCAAATTAAAACTATATATAATTCTGTCATTTTAAAACCAAGTGCTTGAGCCTGAGTTACTACTAGGTGGGCTACAGTTTCTTTCACCAGTAGGTTATCAGTCTGAATCCAGACCAGCTAAATGGGGATTAAAGTTTATTCCTTTCTACCCAAAAAATGACCTATGAATAAATGGCCTGCAAACATGCAATAGTTCATTGAATAATTTCCATCAAATGTCACATATACAGAAAAGTAGACAGTTATACTCAGACCTCATTTAGAGTATTTCCCCTCTTATATCAGCTTGAACCTACATGACATTTTCTTCCCTGGTTTACAAGCTGATGGATCTTGTTCCTTCATTCCTCCAAAGCCCAAAGCTAGCACCAAATTAACCTGGCTTAATTTGGCCATTTCATTATCTGTATCTGATATATATTTAACTTTATCTTTATCTAGGTATTTAGAAGTGTGTGCCTTAATTCAAACTGGATTGGCAAACAATATTTGGTCTGACTCATAAATCACACAGGAAAAAAGGAAAGATATACCATGCTTGCTACACTCAGGATCTTTGAGTCAGCATACCAAACAGGCTAGGGTCCTGTTAAGTTGTTCCATAGTGGCCCTGTAGCAAGAATGGTTGTGAGGGCACAGGTCCACCCTAGCCTCCGGACTGCACCCAGCCTATCTGTGGTACATCCCCACCATAACATGTAATTGTCCAAACCATTTATAGCGATTGTGTTGAATTAGCAAGGAACCTTCAGCAACAGGGGTATTTTGCAGGGAAGCCTGACATCTTTCCCAGCTTGTCTCAGCCTAACCGGTGAAAAGAAAGGGCCCAAAAGCATTGAAAAAAAATAAGACCCAATACTTTTTTTCAAATTGAGCTTTAAGTGCTGAAGTACTTAACCAGTTCAGGTCTGAGATCATACTTAAGGGCATAACATTTGAAACATTTCAGATCCCTACGTCGCTAATTTCTCTGTATCAGGTTGCCTCTGCTCTCCAGTTTCATCAGCCTAACTCCCATTCCACTTACCATCCTTGTCCTTGAGAAAACCTCCAGTTCTGAACAAGATTACCATCCCTCACAGCTCAAAATGAATGCTCTCAACATGACCACAGCACTGAGATGTTTAACAGGGAAGTAATCCCACTGACCATGCCCATCACTAAGACTGCAAATTAATAGCATGTTTCCAATATCTTTCTTAAAAGTCTTTGTAGGAATTTTAAAATGTATATTAAGTCAAAAGTGTTTAATAAAAGCTATTTTAAAATTATTAACCTCTTAAAACCACACATACACACAAAACAAAAACCTCACAGTAGTTTTATCGGGTTATGTAACTTCCAAAAAACCCTGCTAAAAATCAATGATAATTACACAACTTTGAGGCCAAAAAATCCTGTTTTATCCAAAGCAAAAGGGTCTGTGGAAACAAAAAATCAAACTTACAATAAAAGTATGATTATAACATCAACTCTGATATTATTATTGGGTTTTATACAGATAAAACTGTTTCTTAAAAGAAATAATTCTACTGATAGGTGGTCCAATTACCTTTAGAACACCAAAATCTTGTTCACAGAATTGTTACCATGAAAAGGTTACACATAGTATAGTACGAGAAACAGCAATTATTTCCACTTTAACAAATGATCTTTCTATATAAAAAACAGAAAGAAAAAAAACAAAACAAGAAAGGCATCAGTCCACATGGACTTTTATAAGGATTTTTCTTAATTAAGGCATAAAGAAATTGACTCCTTTAAAAAAATAAATCAATCACAGGAAGAAATATTTTGGCTTCAAGCAACTTATTTCAAAATGAACTACAATAACTTGCCATCACAAACAAATGTTAGATACCATATTCTGCTTCTAGACAACAGAAAAAGTTGTAGTTTATGAACCACTGTTTTAATGTAGAATTATATTTCTGAAAGGTACTGGCATTTCATACAGATTAGGAATCACAAGTGTATAAGGGTTTATTTTGCTAAAATCGGAATATCCTTTAGCAGTCAAATGTGCTAGGCTTTTTAATATAAAATTCTTAACATTTATCCATTAGAGAATGTACTTAATAAACAAACAACATTTTCTTGGGGCTTCTTACATGCTTCAGGTCACAATATCCTTTGTGACAATCAAGTCTTGCAATATTCTTGCACAAAGACATTTGCAAGTGAAACTAGTTGCTTTAAAACATTTGCTTTACATTTAAACATTAATCTTTCTGCATGCCAAATATCAGTTAAGACCTATAACCTATTTTGCAAGAGATTTTCAGCAGGTACCTACTGATTAAATAAGCAGCTCTAATTTTTTAACTAACTTTTTTTTTTAAAAAAAGATGCTTCATACAGAGTTCAGGTATCTGGAATGAATAATAAAAAAACCCAGCATATAAATAGGTCATGGGGCTTAACATGCTTTTCTTGTATTAATCTTACTTAAATTGTTTTGCTTTAAAGTGGAGTATCAGTGATCTGACAGTTTGAAATGAAGGGAGACTGTTTACTATGTCCATAAGTTAAAGTTAAATCACAAATAAAAGGATTACAGACTCAACCAGGGAAAAGCACTGGGTCAGGACTGCAATCTCTATTAATTAGGTATCCCAGCTGGGCAGTGGGTATGCAGCTGTTAACTTGATCAATGACTTACCTAAATGTCATCTCTACTGATTCGCTTATAAATTACCAGCAAGTGAGACTAATGTACAGGTGCTAATTTATTTAAACTGTTCTCTGCAGTTCTACATAGCTTTATAAACTGCATCTGGCACCTAATGTTAGCTGTCAGTTGTACTTAGACATGCCTGTCCTAACGACTCTGTTCATTAGAAATGAGCACAAATTATGAAATATTGTGAAAAATGATACATCAAATGGAATGGGCAAAGCAAATCAATTAGAGAAACTTCATACCACATATTCACACATAGGAGAATAAAATATCCTTGTTTCAGAGCAAGGTCTATAATACCAATTAAAAAGCAATTGGTAGACTTCTGCAGAGTTATATATCAATTTACTGGATCCCCCCTCCAAGAAATTCATTTGTAATGTACCGCTTAACTTTCTATTCCTAAATAAAAGCACCAGCAAAAGCCAATTCTTCATCTGAAACATCCAGTAGGAGTATTAATGCATAGTTAACTTATTTTCCTATAGCACCTGTTTTAAAATTCACAAGGTTTAAACGTTATTAAAACACAGATAAAATGCAAGTGAAGGACAGAATCCGATGATGTCTACTTTTGAAATGCACTGAACAGATTGATTAACAGTAGAAGAGAGAGAGGTACATAAGTACTCATCAGAAGGAATTATTACTCTTCGAAGTGTAAAGCTTGATAATTCTGCTGCAAGTGCTAAGCAGCTTTTATATTTTTATAACAGAAATTTAATTATGCATAGCAGGCACTATTATGCACTCTTAAGTTTTTTCAACACCTGATGGGATGTGAGCAAATTAAATGTGCACTGTAGATACTTGATATCTCTAAAATAAAATGCTACTCTTTTGTTTTTTCCATCTTTTCAAAAATAAAATTTGTGAGGTGGCTCTGTATTTGTCATCCATGCTGCATATGAAGAAGCTCACTTCCAGAATGGAGGGAGCTCAGTCTTTTCATACATATAACTGTAACATCCCACTGGTATCTGTGTGCAGAAGGATCTTCCTCCTTCCAAATACATGTACATAAAGGGGCTCCAATCCCAGTACATGGTTTCCTGACATCCTATACAAGCTGGTTCTCTGGGTCCTCGATCCATGCATAGGAAGCTGTATTCACCCTCCCAGCGTTGACCCTGAAGGCAATCAGCTCTATGCCCACCAAACCTCCAACTCTGGGAGTTACACTAACTTTGTTTTTACTTGTTATGCAAACAAGACAAGTTCTGTTAAGATTAAGTAGAAATGGTCACCAAATGGAAAATAAAATGTTTAGTAAAAGGAAGTTTTATAGCTTAAAAGCACAAAATAGTAAGGCCAATGCAAGCAAATAAATCAATTGTTTTCATGATGGACTTAATTGTACAAAGAGGTACATCAGTGCCTTTAAAACAACAATCATACTGAAGTTAAACAGACCCCAGAGGTGAGAGGATCTACAATCGTACTTCCACCTAGAGGAACAAGAGTAATATCAAGATTTGTTTCTATTGCTCTGAATGTAAATTGATTATCAAAATTATTTACAAAAGTTTAATCTTCTCTTTCCTTAATATAAACTTTAGTATACATATGACATACTTCAAAAATCAAAGGACTAAGAACCATGGTAAACATGGCTCCTCAGAGTTGAAGACTGTTCACGTTAATGGCAAGAAGTCAGTCCCATTTGTTTGTTCATGCCTTTGCTTGAGATGAGTTGGATGGCAAGCGTGTGTTCTAAGTGATTAGCTGGGAAACATGGTTTTAGAGTTTGTGATCTCTATAACATAAGGGAGAAAACTATGGATTTCTGTTTGTTGACAGAGGCAACTGTTAGCAGCATGTTCATTTTTATATACATGTTTTCTGATGCTGATTTATCCAGAGTATCAAATAATGGGTGTATAACTTGCGTATACAAAAGCATGCTGTTTTATAAGTAGGTGATTATATCAGGATTTTATCACTGATCAGTGACCAGTATATGTGGCTGAACAAAGTCTAGTTTAAACCACATGGGAATAGAATTTGTATTGCTAGATGTCCTGATTTAACATCCTTTTGAAAATTATGTTTTGAAACTGCTGGATGAGGAAGTCTTGATTACACCCTGTTAGATACAGCTATCTGCTACCTGTATGTCTGAACATATTTAAAAAAAAATACAGCAATGACTTCCTATTATAATTAAGAAATGTATAACTTCATTTCCAATATTTACAGTACATTTACCCCTATAGCCAACTAAACCATTTATATTAGCGGAGTTGCGGTAGAAGAGTATCCCCAAAATATTCAAACCAGTGTTTATTAGTGTTGAAGAGGAGGATGGGAAAAGCTCTGCTTAACTCCAGCTCTGCTTAAATCACAGCTGCAATCTGCTACAGACAAAGCAGAATTATTTATTGCTTGTACTATTCTGGTGCTTTTAAAACTTAGTCATGGACCACGAACCCAGTGTGCTAGTTGACAGTTTCTCAAAAGCCACCTTATCTCCCTGTTCTCACAGTAGCCCATGAAGCAACCAGCTCAGCCTTCTTTTTTCTGCTCCCAATGCATACCACTTCACCCTACAAAGTCACCAAAATGAAAGCTCTCCCTATCACCAGCCTTCTGGTATGTGGTAAAATAGGACGGATGAGCCACAAAAGGGAGGCACTTCAGAGGGAGCATAAAAAGAAAGTGAAATACAACAGGACAAAGGGGAGAGAGGGAGAGAGAGAAAGGCAGTGTGAATGCATGGGATAACAGGAATTTAGAAAAAAAGGAAAGCACCCATCTGCCAATAACCAGCTACCAGAAGGATACCAATAAAAGAATATATGCTGGGAACTACTGGTATAAACTTAAATTTAGGTCTATATTAAAATCACTAAGTGAAATGAATCAAGTGTTGGTTGGAAAATAACCTGTAAAATTTAATTTGCATCACCAGCTGCTATGATATCATGCAAGAAAGCCTGACCTAAAGATACACAGCAGGTCAAATTATGAGTAAACATTTCCAAGTACTACAAAAACCTTCACAGTGGTTCTTATGACCTTAGATCAAGGGGACTGTCCATTAGCAGTTTTAAAAATAACCTACTGTGCTTTACCAAGATATAGTATACAGCCCTATACTGTAATGCTTGACCTCTCAGTGTAGCAGGGGTAGAATCTCTATTCACAACCACAGTTGCAATGTTTGCAATGTATAGTAGTATTCTTTCTTATTCTGACAGTTTGATTAAAATTCACAGAGAGCTGAGGGGCTCATGCTGAAGTAGAGTGCTTTCAATATCTGAAACTCTACAGTAAATTACTTCTCCAACAGAGCAACTGTACTTACATCAATATCCTCTTGGGTAAAAGTTTCTGGATCTTCTCCCATCATGTTGGCTAAATGTCTCTTTCCTAGGTTGAACTCTTCAGTCTGTTCTTTAAAAAAATCCTGTGTGTACACTGGAGGTCTTGGAATATGACTTTTGTTCTGCACTGCTGTACTGGTACAGATTAGTCTTAATGTCTAAGGAAAAAAACAGAGGTTTAATTTTTTTGTTGGCACAGTGAACTCTTAACAAAATGCGTGACATAAAAAGAGAAACATGCCTAGAATAGGATTCTATACCACAGAAATTAAGGAATAGTAGGTATATTCCAGAAGTTGTTTTCTTTTAATTGCAGAAAACATGTCTACAGATGCATTGTTCAAACAGTTTAGCACTTATACCTGACATATTAATTCCAAGCTGTCTTCTGATTGAACAACTACATTCATTTTTGCTTAATAATGTTAGGTAAATTTCAATAAGCTTCTAGTTTTGGGGGACAAAAGGTGAGATTTCACTAACAGAAGGACGCATAGTATTTCATGTTGGGAGTGTCTAGAAAAAGCAAAACAGATATGCATGGTAAAAAAAAAGAAAGAGGATCCTCTTTCTATCTGGAAATAAATTGACTGTATTTTTCTCTTATTGTGTGCATACCATGCACATGTGCTGGTTGCATGTGTTTACAGAGAGAACTTCACAATAAGTGCAAATTAAACAACAAATGCAAAATGTGGTGAAAGTACAAAGATACATTCTTAATGTTGCCCTACCAGAAAAAGAAAGGAGAAAAAAAAATAATTGTGCACAATAAACCTTTGAGACAATGCCAGTTTTCTAGTATTTTTCTCCTGGAACAATGAAATAGCTTAGGAACCATTCTTGCACTGAAAATCATGCAGTGGTGCTACGCAGTCTGAACAAAGCTTTGGACCCTAGTGTTTCTCAGCACAGGTCAGGGTGGAAACAGACTTTCATTCAACTGCAGAGAACCTAGCAAAAATGGACCCCAGGCCTGATAGGGGCTTTGGCGCATTACAACAACACACATAATAATATTATTACAATATATCAAAACACAACTGATCTTCCTATTTTGCAAATTAATCCAAATAGAAAAGGCAGATGAACCAGCTTCCAATACAAAAAGAACCATTTGGGGCAACCAGCTTTATACTGGAGAGTGAAAAGATACTAAAAATATCTTAATTTTTTTTCTAGATAAATAAACAATTTAAGAATGTCAAGAAAAAAATCATTAACTGATACCACTAGATATAAATTTGCTACTTTGAAACCACTCAGTCTCTTGGTTACTTTCGTTCTACATTTTCCCTCAAATATATGAAATGATGGCATGACAAGACTGCTACCTCTGTCTCACTCTTCATATCTTTGAGCTCCTGGTACACAGTTTAAAAAAGACTCTGCAAAGTATCATGACATAATAGTGCAGGCAAGGAGCTAAATCAACACTCTGGCATACAGTATACAATCATGCAAGACACAAACTCCACTGAAAACATTAAAACATATTTTGGATATTGTCAGCCATCGTTCTAGAGGCGGAAAGCTACTCAAAATTCATTCACTTAGAAGTTTTCTGAACTGCTACTTTGATTAAAATAAAATGATGAATATTCAGAGTCAGCAAAGGATACTGCTTCCTTAATTTGTAAGCTATTATTTTCACTATCTAAGACATTTCATTAGGATTTCTTGGATATTTAGGTTGCTTACAATTTTTTGGCTCAACAATTTATTCCCTTGACTCTTAAAACCCCTCCAGGGCAATTCCTATCAACAAATACCAGTGAACTTAGTTCCAGCTCACAAGTCATAACCCAAGGGACACTTATCTTTTGGCTTCTGTGAAAGACAGTAGGATATGGCTAGACAGATTTGTTTTTCTTTTACCAAGATAATCAGTGGGTAAGACAACTGTAATTTCAATCAAGCACTCTGCCAGAGAAACAGAAGCATCACTGAGAGTTATGATGTCCCAATTTTGGCCTAATGCCAATTTTATGCACTATTTTATCCATCCTATGCTAGAATTAACAAAGCCCTTCTGCTGTCTAGTTATGCCATAAACTGGAGAGAGAACTGATGATTGGAATTGATGCTTCTTCCTTCCCACAGAGAAGAAAAAGGGAGGGGGAGAGAAACTAAAGACAGAGGGGAACACTATAGAAGGGTGAAAATATCAGATCTATTCAATATTATTCATCGTGCCATGGTCATTAGTGCCATGATATTAAATTCAGTTGTGAATCTTATGGTCTCCTGTGTAAGCTTGTAGTCTCAGTTTACTTCCTAGGGTACATGTTCCAGTGCCAACATAAAAAAAACCCACAAACAACAAAGCAAAACAAAACCAAGCTAGTTAGCAGCCTTATAGCTAGCAACCTTATTGCCGCTGAAATGATTTCATAGAATCATAGAAGTAGGGTCGGAAAGGACCTTGTA